TGTGTGTGTGTGTGTGTGTGTGTGTGTGTGTGTGTGTGTGTGTGTGTGTGTGTGTGTGTGTGTATGTGTGTGTGTGTGTGAATACCTAACAGGAAGAGAAATTCTATTAAGAGGAATCCTCCTCTGTAGATCCTGACCATGGGCCACACATCAGCACTAAGAAAGTTCACAGCTCCTAATGACAGTGACAGACGAAAAAGATGGTAGAAAACAAATGACAGACATAATTCAGCAGCAGACATTTTTCAAATACTTTATTGCAGATCATACTATTTTAATACAACATATTGTTGTAGTAAATTGCAGTGGATCCAAAGGCACATTCATTCATTCTAGCAAAGTAATATAAACCAACATTCAGTGTTAATTTCATACATTATGTATGTATAGAAAAATTAAAACAACTTCTCTTGGTCAAAGGAAAAAAACACCAATTCCTCATTTTGTTTCAGAGTGTTCAATTCTGTTTTTTCCTGCTGTGAACTACTCTAACCAAATGTTTAAGTATCAAACCTTTAAAGTCGCAATAATAATAGATCCTTTAGTGTGTGTGTGTGTGTGTGTGTTTGTTCTACCTGTAATGACCACTGTAACCATTAAGACAAGGAATACTCCACAATAAAGTCCGACTCTAAACGTGGTCCAAGCAGGTGCAGGCTGCGGGTAGAGACACAGGCAGCATCTTAGCAGTATATCATGATACGATACAGAGTGAAACACAATTAAACACTTCAAGTAAAGTTAATTAAAATAACATGATTTATATAGACGTTATTAATATTCTGAACCGTAAACCAGTGCGTGAATATCTCCCATAACTGGTCCCCTAACTTTTCTGTACACAGATAGTTACACCATCCACCAACCCAGCCACCCACCTACACATCGATCCATCCATCTCAGTATGTATAAGGACATTATATTATGTAATCTTCTTGTATGTCTGCAGAAGCACTGCTGCAGTTCTCTGTTATTTCATTATGTCTTCAAACACAGCATATTTTTGTATAGAATTAATAACATTTAATTTGCTTTGAAGCTCATTGATTAGAAGCAGCTGTTCGCTCAACTGATCGGGGAGGCACAGGTTAAGGGAGGGGGCAATACACTGGTAATATAATTTTGTAATTAATACAAAAAGAGAGAGATATTTTCTGTTTCGAGTTTCTCCACAGCTCATCTCAGTGATCATATTCAAAAGACTTCTTATCAGACTGGAGAGACAGATGCTACAAGCTTTTAAATATTCAATTGGTGCAAGTACTAAAAGTTTGAACTTTTAAGCATTGGGGAATGTTACTGATTGAAATAATGATGAAATGATTACAACTTGAAAACTATGGGGGATGCAGTCCAGCAAATTATTAATGCATTGAGAATATAATACTTTTGTGTTGAAGCTGTTC